TGTCTTAGCTGAATAAAAGTATTAATTTCTTTCAAGAAAAAAAATCTGACCCCAAACCTTTGAACGGCAATGTGTGTAATTATTTTTGTAATTTATTTTAAGATGTATTAAAATGAATTATGTCTTTATTTTTGTATCTTAGAAAGCAAAAAGTGCTCACCTGTTGGGCCTGCAAGTTGTTTGCGGCTCTCAGCTTGGCTCTTGCTGATTGGTCGAATAACAATGGAATTGGCCCTGATTCTAGGATTGTACACCTGTCACAATAAAACAACACTGCTTCATGCCCACCAATCAAAATGTATACAGCATATAACACAGAGCTCATAATAAAGAATAGTCTGTAAAGTTTAAAATAAAAACAAAATCATTACATACATATCTTTTTTGCACTCCAGCATCAATCACAAAGCGAATGCTGTGAACGGCCCAGAACGAGTCTTCACTGGGGCTGCAGGTGAGGAAGACTCTCCTACTCTTGCTCCCTTCAGAGAGCACTGAGAGACTGTCTCCTTGCGCAGGGCACAGAGACACAGGCACCAGCTCACCATGAGACAATGCAAGATTGGCACCCTCTCTCTGCAAAATGGCATGGGCACATTCAATCTCCTTGAAAACGAGAAGAGAAAGAGAAGTTTCTTTTACCATGGAAATGGGACTGTTTTCTGTTCTATGCAAGATTCCTTGAAGGAAGGCAGGGTGACATTTATGGAGGGTGACCATACATACGTGCTCTTTTTACCGGACACATCCTGGCCAGGATTTCTATATTGCCTAAAATATCCAGGTTTTGGCTTTGTTTTCCTGTTTTCATACTTGCTGAAGGTAAGGTGTGTTCAACTTGAAGCGGCTCTGCGCAGACCGATCGGTGTATGACATCAAAGTACTGCGAGAGCAATTCGAAAGCATAAGGAACCGTCTCAGTCTCCTCTCTATAGCTCTCACGGTACTTTGATGTCATACACTGATCGTTCTGCGCAGTGCAAACAAAGCCAAAGTCTGGATATTTTAGGCAATAAAGAAATCCTGGCCAGGAAGTGTCCGGGAAAAACGGCACGTATAGTCACCATACATTTAGTTATAAAACTAAGCATCCATTAAAATATTGATCTGTCCGTTACTTGGGCTCACAGAGGTTGAGATGGTAATAAAAAAAATAAATAAAAAAAACCCATCAGATTAAGACTGTAAAACTACAACCGAGAATGAGTCCTTCAGTCTGTAAAGCTGAGAGTACTTCAAGTATGTTTACACCTAAGAGGAAATGATCAACTTTTAAATAATTATAAATGATTTTTTCTTATGGGTTAATGAATTCAATAAATCAAATAATTAAATGTATAAATATGGAAATTAAATTGTTATACATTTAAAAGATAAAATATACATATATTAGTGCTGTCAAACATGCAAATCAGCATCTATGTAATACACTAAAATTATATTATATAAAATACTGTAATATATAATATAATTTTAGATGTGAGTTGTTCGGTCTGTAAAGTACTGAGAGTACTTTATGTCTGTTTACACACATAAAGCAAACAGGAGATTATATATTTAATTATAATTAAATATCCACTTATTAATAATTGTATATTGTTTATGTATTAATAAATTAAATGAAATAATTTACTTTATAAAAAATAATATTAACAATAAATACTAATTATAAAAATAACATAGTTTACTTATATTATTTTATATGTAAAGAATGTCGTTTATTTGTTCATTAATAAAATGATTTGTAAATAATAAATATTTTAAAAATGTCAACAAAATGTAAACAATTACAAAAGTTTAGTTCTAGTTCACCTATTAAAGTTGAAATGTCTCTTACTTGCTCAGTTGCCAGAAATGTCACAATGTCTCCATGCTTTTGATTCTGATGTATCTCCAGAGCCAGACTAAGAGCAGAGCAGAGGTAATCCTTCACACCTCCTCTCCCACTGCCGTACACCACCTCGCATGGCCGTGGCCCTTCCAGACAGATCTGAGGAACACTTCCATAGCGACGTAGCAGTTTCTCTGCGGAGTGAGGGGTGCTGAGGATGACCAGCCTGAGCTCTGGCCGTGTGAGGAGCACGTCTTTGAGCAGCCCGAGGAGAAGGTCTGTGCTGATGGTGCATTCCTGGGCCTGATCAATGACCACCACACCACACTGCTCCAAGAGGGCGTCCGACATCATTTCCCAGAGCAACACATCATCTGTGCAGTATCTGCAAAGCAACAGATGTCACTGCAGGCTTCTTTAAGAGTGCAAATCAGCATCGATTCAATACAAAATCCTTGTATACATCTACAAACAAAAATAACAAGCTAACTGAAGGCAAGCAGACGTGATTGGATGATAATTTACTCTGGGAATTGTCAGTGTTTTCCTTAAGGTCAGTGTTTTCATTAAGTCAGACTTTCTCAGCTGTTCAAATCACAGTTCTGGCTCTTTGTTCGCCAGACTGACTTATTGCCGCTCTGAAAGCTCTGATGAAGCATATGGGCAGTACAGAAACACGGCAGCTGCCGTGGAGACCCTCAGCCTTTTGTTAGCTTTTATATTGTTTAGAAGGACAGGCGCCCCTGAAAAGAGATGCACGTGTGGTGGCAATGAAGTGGGGAGGGGCAGATTGCAGAATTGAATGGAAGAAAAAGTCCAGGGAAAATGACCAAATAATGCCGTTCAAACTTTACATTACTGAACATGCCTAGGGATCATATACACACCTCAGTACAGTATCAGGGGAGCAGCAGGTCTGAAGTGGGATGTTGTATCCAACCTCATTGCCGATGTTGACGTCCATCTCGTCGGCCACACGGAGGGCCAGTTCCACAGTGCTCTGCTGGTGAATCTGAGTACACACTACCATGCCATTCTGATACTGCGCAGACAGGCAAAACTCTGCACACCACTGAGGGATCTAAATGAAGATTAACACAGAAAACCACATGCTGTAAGGCTATTCAAAAATAAAACACTCACAAATAAGATACTTTTGATACTTTCAGTGACAAATGAACTAGCAGTAATGACTACGTTGCATCTACCCCATATTATATGATCTTTTGCATAATAGATGAAGCAACGTAATGCAATATTATGTTCACATTAAATTCAATCTAATAGTAACTTACGTTCTGTTCAAAATTCAGCCCTATTTATCCTGAATATGCAATGAGGTTTGAAATACCAAATAAAATATTAATATTAACTCACCTGAGTGCTTTGTCCTGTTTTAGCTGTGCCAGTAACTATCACAACCTGGCTGCTCATCAAACTGTCCATAAACTCGCATTTCGCTCCCCACACAGGCAGACCTTTTCTTTCGCTTAATAGTTTGTAATATCTTTAAGAAAAAGGGAGCCCGTCGAACTGATTTAACTCCAGCAGTTCATCCGTATCAATATCTTGAGTTTCGCTGGTTTCAGATAGTTCCTCCACATCTGTTGATAGCTCCAGCTCCATCGTTGCCCTAATGCGCCTCTCTCTTCAATTGGACTATTAAATCAAACTGAACAAATCGACTGAATCACGCTCTGTTAGTTATGTGACATATTTATGGTCTAAACAGGTTACCTCCTCCAGATGAGTTTTAGGAACCCGCGCTCTGGAGAGACAGACCCTTTGTGTCACCAGTTGTGCCGCTCAGCGCACTAGAGATGTCCGATTCGTGAACGAATCTTTCTTTTGAATAGGATCTTTTTAATGAACCGAGAACCGGTCGTTCGCCAGTAGCACTGAATCGGTCGGAGTTGTTATCGAGCCAGTAACTGCTAGGAAGAGCATTTAAAGTGTATTAAAGAGTTATTTAATGAATAAAAAGAAAGTTTAATAGCAGAAATTTTGATTGACAGTTTTATCAAGACATGAAACTGAGCTGATTTTAATAAATTATGAAAACACGCAAAATGTTTTTAGCCAAGCAATGTACATAGATTTATAGAGGTGTTTATTGTAAATTCAGGTATGTTTAATCAGCTGAATCATAACTGCAACAAACTGAATGTGGACACATAAAATGACAAAATAACCACCCTCATTATAAAAACGTAGCCGTACATTCAAAGGTTCTCAACCAGGGGGCCCACTAGGGGGCATCAGCGAGTCCAGGGGGCCTCAAGATGACATTTAAAAGTGTTATTTCTAGACCTGAAAAAGTCATGTAAACTAATAAAGTCTTAAAATGTCAAGGCAATTTTATGATGAATATAGGCTTACATTTTTGTGGTAATGCAAGATCTAACATATTTTAGAAACTGTGTTCAAAACGTATTTATTTCAAATCCTTTAAATCAGGGGTGCCCAAACTCGGTCCTGGAGGGCCGGTGTCCTGCAGAGTTTAGCTCCAGCTTGCCTCAACACAACTGCTTGGAAGTTTCTAGTATGCCTAGTAAGACCTTGATTAGCTGCTTCAGGTGTGTTTGATTAGGGTTGGAGCTAAACTCTGCAGGACACCGGCCCCCCAGGACCGAGTGTGGGCACCCCTGCTTTAAATAATTTAACATGCCAGGGACCGCGTGATGACGTAAAAGAATCACTGAATCGTTTTTGATCCGCTTCTTTGAATGATTTGTTTGAAAGAACCGACTCGAACTTCCCGTCAGTGGCGGACTGAATCACCGCTCAGACGCACAGCGGCGGAGATTTTGAGCGGTCATGTGGTTATTTAATCCCACCACAATAGAGTCTCTGATGAAAGTGACTACAGGGTAAAACAAGGGTTCAGTCTCAATAACCATACATCGCTCTCATGTTAAAACAAGATTTAACATGCTATAATCTGAACACATTTTGGAAACTCGTGTTTTGTGCAACTAAAAGAAACACTCAAATGGGCCAAAGATTACGCGCACGGCCACACCAATGCTGTCACCATGACAACGGTAAAACTCGCACAGTCAGATGTGCGCGAGAGAGAGCGAGGCAAACACACAGCAGACTCCTGCTTACAACTCATCATCCTCTGTGCGGGGACTTCTCTACACGACTACACTACAAGGACACAGCGATGAACCCAGGTAGACATTTGATTTGTTTTTTTTGTGGCTAGTAGTTTATACAATAGTCAATAGTCAGGACATTTTGTTACCATAAAAAAACGAAACTAGATTTCCAAAAACGTGTTTACGTTTGAAAAATATAATAGAGGGCAACATAAAGCTCAAGCAAGAGCTGAAAACTGCAAGCTGTCTGTTTAATGTTTGATAGAAAAGTTACCACGGAGTTTTTTTATTCCTCTCTTGATTAACATATAGTAATAAGCAAAAACCTTATGTAATTTCGGTCACAGTTTAGTTTGGGAACCTGTTCTCACTATTAACTAATAACTACAAATTTTGCCTCAGTAAACTCCTAATTTGCTGCATATTAATAGTTAGTAAGGTAGTTGTTAAATTTAGGTATGGGGTAGAATTATGGCATCAAAAACATGGTCATGCAAAATAAGGCATTAATATGTGCTTAATATGCTAATAACCAACTAGTTAATAGTGAGAATTGGTCCCTAAACTAAAATGTTGCCTATATTTTTTTATATGTATGTATGTATGCATGTATGTATGTAGGTATGTGTGTGTGTGTGTGTGTGTGTGTGTGTGTGTGTGTGTGTGTGTGTGTGTGTGTAAAATAAAAAAAAAGTTTTCTCCAGCAACAGTGATTAAAAAGTAATGGATAAACTTTTAACTTAATCACTAATCCAGGAACAATCTGTTGTGGTTAGTTATTCTTGGTGCGTTGTTATGTGATATTCATGACCTTTATTAAGATGAAACCAATAGGCTACAATTTACCCATATGTCACACCTGAATAGCAAGATCATACCATGGATGCTGCTGTATCAGATAACTGCATATTAACCATAGATTGGTTTGGGTTTTGTCTTGCCTTGTCAAAACACAGGTATGGTAAACAGAAAGTAATATGACTGTGTTGGATATTACTGCAAAGCTAAATATGTCTAAAATTCAAATTACAACTTTAATATAAACAATCTACATGATATTAAGAATCTGCCATTTATTTTCTCAATTTCGCCAGAAAAATATCCAGAGCTTCCTCTTGTGATTGGGAAGGTCAGTCACCACAGTATCGAGCTGAGCTGGATGAATGCAGAGAATAAACCTCGAAATGGCCCCCCTGAACGCTGGACACGCTTCTCTGTGGAGCAGATGGACCCCAAAACACATACATACAGCACCGTATACATGTCAGTTTTCTCTGTTTGACACTGAAGATTTTTTTTTTAATATTAAAGTTATTGCAACATATTCAAAACCTGCAGTTTAGCAAGACACCTTGTAATAACAACATTTTGGTGTTTTATCACAAAGGGTACAGCACCCATCATGTTGTAAGGGCTTGGAGCCCAGCACCTCCTATGGTTTTAGACTGAGAGTCACCAGAGCCTCAGGGGAGTGCAGCCTCAGCCCTGTGCTCTCTGTCTTCACCACCCGTGAGATATTTTATCTCCAGTCAAAGACTTGGTCTATTATTTTCTTACTTTAAACCTAGTAATCCCATGCTCCTCTCAGCTGTTATTGGTAGAAACAGACTCTTTTAGGAGTTCACTACACTACAGTTCAAAATTCTAGGATCAGTATTTTAATTTTTTTTAAAATTAATAATGTTATTCAGCAGGGACACAGTAAATTGATCAAAATTGACTAAAGACATTTATAATGTTACAAAAGATTTATATTTCATATATATCTTGTTCTTTTGAACTTGATTTATCACAAGCAGCAAATCAGCATATTACATTTTTGAAGGGTCATGTGACAGAAGACTGGAGTAATGATACTGAAAATTCAGCTTTACCATCACAGGAATAAATTACATTTGAAAATATATTAAAATAGAAAACACTTATTTTAAATTCTAATAATATTTTACAATTTTACATTTTTTACTGTATTTTTTATCAAATAAATACAGCCTCGCTAAGACTTCTTTTAAAAATATATATTTAAAAAAAATCTTACTGACCCCTAACTTTTGAATGGTAGTTTATTTGGTTAATGTTTTGATGGTTTGGCCACAGGAGAGCCTTTCAGTGGGAAGAAACTCCACCAGGCTGTGCACAGGGAGGATGATGAGGAGCTGACCACAGTTCTACAGTCAGGGTGAGACTCACTGACCATCTGTAAGACCACACTCACACTTCAAGCTTCTTCATATTCTATATTAGTACTAACATTGTACTAATTCAAGGAATATTTCACCCAAAAATTACAAACTTGTCATCATTAATCACTCTTATGCCATTCTAAATCTGTATGACTTTCTTTCTTCTGTGGAACAGAGTGATTAATGATGACAAAATGTTCATCTTTAGGTGAAATATCCCCTTAAATGCCAGTTCACACAGCATTCAAAACCCCTTTCATGTAATTTCTCTCCTAGAACAGTCGACGTGGATGTTTATGACAAAATGGGTTTCAGTCCTCTCATGGTGGCAGCACAGAAAGGTTTCACCAGGTAAACGTGCTTCTGATGTTACTCGTTTAAACACAAAGCTGGATGCAAACAGAGAGATGAATTCACAGCAAGACTCAGCAAGAATCTCCCATTAGTCTGTTTGTAGTTATTGCTGTGTGGTTTAATGAGAGAAAAGTGTCGTTTGTTGAAATATAGTCATATATTTCTAATAATGATTGTTTGGTTTGTAGCTTAGTGGACATTTTGGTGAAGCATGGAGCTGATATTAACAAGAAAGACAGCACTGGAAAAGAAAGGTGTGCCTGCATATGCTTTTTCAATGCAGTTGAATTGTATAATTAATGTCTTCTAACATGTATATTTTTATGTATGCATGTTTTTTTTTTTAGTCTAATGCAGGCCTGTTTTGCCGGCCACCTTGACACAGTGAAGTATTTACGTAACTGCGGCTCCACTTGTGAATCTCAAGATACAGACGGCTGCACACCGCTCCACTGGGCCGTGGATGGAGTACACTTGCCTGTCATTACATATATGATCCAGGATGGTTGTGAGGTGAGAGGACATTAAAGGAATGGTTCACCCAAAAATGAAAAATTGCTGAAAATGTACTCATCCAAAGGCCATGTAGATGTAGGAGAGTTTTTTCCTTCATTGGAACAGATTTTGAAAAATTTAGCATTACATCACTTGTTCACCAATGGATCCTCTGCAGTGAATGGGTGCCATCAGAATGATAGTCCAAACATATAACAGTCTGATAAAAACATCACAATAATCCACAAGTAATCAATATGACTACAGTCCATCAATTAATGTCTTGTGAAGTGAAAAGCTGTGTGTTTATTAGAAACAAATCTATCATTAAGGCGTTTTAACTTTAAACTGTCGCTTCTGGTCAAAATACAAATCCATAATCCATAACGCTTCCTCCAGTGAAAAAGTCCATCCCCTCTCACATCAAAATTCACTGACATATTTGTTTAGAACTGTTCTCGCTTGCAAACGGTGCTTGATCGGTGCATATTTCTCTCCTGATTCTGATGAGATGACTTTCTCCTTGAAAAAAGGTGGAAGCAATTTGAAGTAAAAAATGTCTTGATGGATTTATTTCACAAGTTCACATGCAATCAGATATAATAAAGTATGATTATTTGTCGTGCTGTCCGGGGGAGGACTCAGAGCTTGAAATTTTGGCCCGAACCCAGAGTACTCCCCCCTTTATTACTGGGATAGGAAACAGACAAGAGTGAGGCGATGGGATGGTGGAGGGATGCTGTGAAGCTGTCACGGGATAGAGGTGAGGGATGGCTATATATTCCAGCCTCCTCTTGCACTAATTGGTTGGATTACCAGAACGTGCTCCTCCCAAACTTTGTTAAATAAACTTGGATGGATTATCCAAACAATTATTGTGATGTTTTTATCAGCTGTTTGAACTCTCATTCTGACAGCATTCATTCACTAGAGGATCAGATGAGCAAGTGATATAATGCAAAATCTATCCGATGAAGAAACTTCTTAAATGGCCTGTGGGTGAGTACATTTTAAGCACATTTTTGAGTGACTATTCCTTTAAAGATATGATCTGAAGTTTCAGAAACTTCAGTTTACCTCTATAGCAATGATGTTTCACAAAATTCTCTTTTTTTAGATGCACCGTCTAGGGTGGCCTACTACTAATGTTGAGATGGACCCTGTATTGTAAGTTGAAAACGTGTTTTTTTGTCTCTCTGGACTCCTCTCATGCGTGTGTCAGCCATCAGTGGAAACGCTGCGGTCGCCTCCATCCTCCTCCAGGCTGGAGCTGATGTAAATGTCCGTGACAAAGCTGGCAAGACACCTCTAATGGTATTTATCATCAAAACAGCCACTAGAAGTTCTGAGGACAAGATGGATGACATCATTAGATTTTTTTTTTTGGTAATAATTTTTCAGGTCGCTGTGCTGAATAACCATGTGGAACTGGTGAAACTTCTGCTTTATGGTGGAGCAGATCATCACATGAAGAACGAGGTAACAGTTTATGATCATTATTATATTCATAATACATAAATAATTAAACAATAAGAGTAGTGCAATAAAACATTTTGCCACAGGAAAACTGATAACACTAAAATTATATTTACACTCTAATGTAGTATGGAGCAGGTGCAGCGGATATGGCAAAAGCATTTGTGAGACAGGTAACCTGACAAACTATACAAGAACGAATTAATATTATTTTGTAGCTTGGAACAAAAAGACAATTTCTGTTTCAGAACATCATAAACTTGCTGGATAATATAAGCTTGGAAGATTCAAATCGACTGACATCAACGGTACAATTCTCTTATGGAGACAAGAAATTATCTTTATCTTAATGTCATTTTACACATTACATTAAAGCCTTGAGTTATTAAAAAACAACTTTTATGTTACTGTAGTGGACCCTGTAAAATAAAATGAAATTGAATTCATGATAGTAATATCCTCATTTAATATTCTCGTTCAAGTCCTTGCATTACCAGTATCATTTTTTTGAAGGCATTCACATTTCCCTTTTAATATCCTACCTACGGTAATTCATAGAAATAAAAATGGATTTTGTTGTATATAAAACTGTTATACAATGAATTCAACACCCAGTGCAAAAACTGAGCAGTCATCTTTGATGACAGATTGACAGATTATCT